CGGCAACTTACAGAATTAAAAATAGCTATATATACATATATACATATAATAATACCAAACACAGAAACATGGAATTTTTCTAAAGGTTGTTTAGTGAAAATGAAACCTGTATTTTATGGCTTTTTACAGATTACCAGGTGAGCTACAAACTGTGACCTACACCAAATAAGGTCAGGGAGCCCCTTTAAAAGGGTTCCAGTTGGTTAGAGAAACACAACTTAGCTAAAGCTAGCTAAAAAGAAAAGGAAAAAGAATAAAATAATGAGAGTAATTAGAAATATTTTATTTATAAACCTGTATTTAGAAGGTATGTATTGTACCTGTACTGTGAGGTCTCCTGCTCTATCAAAACCCGAAGTTTATCCCGGACATTTTATTCGAATCCTTCAGACATAGCGCTAAGCACGTATGTGCTGCCAGATTTTATTTGAAGAAAAAGATAGATTTTTTTGCGAGGTGAGTGCACACTAATATGGGCCTTTTCCCTACTTTTCCCCCACTTAAAGACCAATAAAACTGTTTTATCATATAATTTCTTTATTTTATTTTTTATTTTACTTATTATTTTATGTGTCACTTACCTGTTGTCACTTTGCCAAAAGTTAAACGAATAAAGAATAAATAGACATTTGAAAGATTGTTTTGTTTCTACTCTTTTCTCTGGTGTCCAGTAGAAGAAAAACTGAAGTTATTGGTTTTTTCATTATGTATCTATTCAGTAATTCACTGTTAGAACACAAAGTTTAGTTAAATTGCAACCACATACCCTCCATTGGCAAATCTATGTGGTCCAACAGCAAAGGTAAGCACAAACAATACTAAAAGCAGATTATTAGAATATATAATACTTGTACTTTACTTATTAGGTTACTTTAATGCTCGTAATTTTGACATTTTCCTGCATTTTTAACCTTATCAGTTGAAATAGATAAAGATTATATCCAGATCCAGGAACTAAACACTGGAATGTAAATTATTTTTCGGTATACAAGCTTTTATTTTAGAAAGACTTTGAATGAAGCTTGCTTTTACTTTGAAAGGCTTTCATTAAACTTGTGGTTCTGAAAAAGCAGCAGACCTCCCAATGCAGGTCTGCAACTAGACTGCATTGTATTTATTAGCATTAATCTACTAATGAAAGCCACAAAATGTGTAAACCCCAAACAGTGAAACAGAGGGAAAAAAGGCATTTAGGAAAGTCTAAAGTTTTGTGAATCGTGTGGCCAAAACATATTTTTCCTGCTGTTGAAGCCTTTACCAGGAAAACGGCTGTTATGTTATTGGATGAAACTACATCAGTAGTCTCATTTTTATTTCTTGAGTCAAAAAAAGACATAACTTACCTGAAACTAGTTTCTTTTTGAAAGATTTTCCTAAAGATGGAAACAGACAACAAAAAAATTTAATCTTTTTTATAATAAAAGAAAATCTGTTTTAAGCAAACAATGATTCAGTGAAGCAACCTGTAAACTGAAATTGCTAGGATCAAACACTTATCCAACAGCTCCCTCTGCAGGCCAACGTCTTACACTACAAAAGTGCTTCTATTTGCCCATGTAAAGGTAGAGATGCTAGGATTTCCTGCAAGTGTTTAGCTTACCAAGTTTACTGGCAGATGCTCTTTTCCTCAAAGACGAATAAATTCGTCTAAAAACTGAAGAGAGAAGAAATTATTTGCAAGTGTTTCACTGAGGTTTTACCTTAAAAAATGAACATTATTTCTACCATTCTCTACCAAAGGTCATGGTTTGGTATTTTGCTGTTTTGGGGTTTTTTTTAAGATGAATATTTAGGCAAGAAAAAAAGGGTTTTATTACGTACCGTTTCTCTCTCTGCACAAATAATCAAACATCAGAAACTCCAAACCTCCGCGAAGTAACGGCACTGTGAGAGAAAACAGTAAAGGGGGAGATAGTTAAAGAGAAAGCATTACTTTGTTGTCAGAAAACATGAGACAACTGAAGAATGAGTTACTCAGAATGAGACACGAGCAAAGCACCCACTGTAGGTTGGATTCTCCCTGTAGATCAGGGGACCTTCAACAGCTTTGCCATTGCATTTGTTGACAGCGAGGAAGGCAGTAAAGACACTGCTGATGCCAGACTGGATGCTAAGCTCCAAAATCTTCTTTACTTCACCTTCCTGTCCATTCTGCCTGTGCTCCCACTCCAGGGAGCGGATTAGAGTACGTGCAGCCAACCTGTGGATTGGTAAGCTGCACAGAAGCAAAAGAAATGCACAATTATAAAATATTTAAACATTTTTTCGATTAGAGAGCAAAAACTCAATTCTGGCCTTATTTTCAAATGAAGCAAATATAGACAAACATAAAAAAAAAATGGTTTCACTACCAAGTCAGTGGTCCATCTCCTTTCTGATCAAAACCTGCTTCGTGCGCAATGCCCTCTGCAGGTCGGAGAGAGAAGTGCAGCTGGTTCTGGCATTGATGACCAGCTGCAGTAAAGTTCACGGTCAGACATCCATCTGTAGCTTCAGAACACTGAGACAGAGCAACAGACAAAAACACTTTTGATAGACAGGTAATAAGTCTGGCTAACCTGTGCTTGTATGTGCTGCTCCTTACCTCTCCAGTGAGCTGAGCATAAATCAGTGACCTCTGACCCTGTAGAAGGGTTCTGATAGGTGGAGAAAGAAGAGTGGCGGACACTCCCTCTGGTAAATCCCACGACAAAGAGACGTCAGCAACCCGCGGCTGCAGTGCGAACCTAAGAGACTGCATCGCCTGAGGAAAAACAGTCAAGTTATTAAAGGGGTCATAGTTTCATCTAAATATTCATGATCATACCATAAAATGAAGATAACCTGTTGTTTCATTCTAGGGCTTTTAGCCAGGCCTGCATTAGGGCTCATTGAACAGCAAATATGTCATTTTTCGCCCAACCATGTTACACACCCTATTCAGAGACCAGGGGCGGATTTAGGAAATGTGGGGCCCTAGGTAAAGACAGGCAGGGGGCCCTCTGAATGGAGAAGACATAAAACAGACCCATTCTACAGATATAGAAATGTTAATAGAATAGACATCCATTATCTGTTCTAGGTTGTGTCCCTCTCTTCTTGTCCCTTTTCTTCTTTG